ATATTCATTGATTCTTAAATATTTTTCCTCTTCTTATTCCAGATACGGTATGCTAAGCTGTTAGTAGCATAACCAAGGAAGAATCCTTCTTCGCTGCGAGAGTCTAATTTTTCTAGCTGATCTTTGTCATTCAAGATGTAACAGACTCATCCAAATACTTTGAAGTAGCTCAGGTTAGGTTTCTTTCCCTTCCAAATCTCATATGGAGTCTTGTCAGCACCTATCCTAACATATACTTTGTTTATCGCATAACAAGCCGTACTGATAGCCTCAACCCAAAACTTCTCTGGAACTCCGTTTCCATGAATCATGGCCCTGGCCATCTCTTGAAGGGTTTTGTTTTTTCTCTCAACTACTACGTTGGATTGTGGAGTTCTCGGTGCTAAGTACTGATGAAAAATTCCATGAGATTCGCAGAAACTGATGAATGCCTCACTTAGAAACTCACCTTCACGGTTACTTCTGATTTGTTTTGTTCCCATCTTCTTTTTATTTTTTAGTTGAAGAGGTAGAATCTTGAAGCTGTTTGTTGTCTCTGATTTTTTTCCTGATAAATCTTACCCATGTGAACTGTGAGAAATCATCAACAAAAAAAAACATGTACCTCTTTCTTACAAAGCTTTCTATCTGCAGTGGTCCCATTAAATCCAAATGGATAAGATCCAAAACCTGAGTAGTCTGCACTCCTTCCACTTTCTTGTTCTGTACTCGAATCTGTTTTTTTTTTATCGCAGGCACTGCACACAATCTTGTCAACAAGTTTTAAATCAGGAATTCCTCTAACCATTTCTTTGCTGACCAAATTTGACATACTTCTAGCATTCATGTGTCCAAGTCGCTGGTGCCACAGTATTGGATCATCCTTTCCATCTCTAAGATAGATTTTAGGTTCTTCCCATATATAGCTATGGTTACCAGACCGAATACGTGAGAGAGCATTGCGGTTCTTTTTATCGGTGGCCCAGCATTTTACTTTGTTGAAGCTCACTCCTAAACCTTCATTATAGAGCTGACTTACGCTGATGAGATTGGTTGTAAGTCCTTCAACGAAATAGACATTTGTGAGTTGAGATTTTTTTAGTTTTGATTAGGTATTTTTTTTCCCTTGATTTTCTCTTTAGCTCCACCTCCAAACGTGACTTTACTCTCTTTCACGACTGTGTAATTATCCAGATTAGATTGATTCCCTGTCATATGACGAGAAGTCCCACAGTCAAAGTACCATGGCTTAGACCCACTTGCTTCAGCTGAAGTGTATGCAACATGACATTACAGATCGTCCCCTTTTACTTACATTTTTTACGGTCTTCTCTGATGTGGATAAAGCTTTCCCTGTCTCAGCATTTTATTCACTTTAGCTGCATACTTATAACAGTACTTCTGTATGTGACTATGTCGACCACAGTAATAGCACTCATACCCTGTCACAGATCTGTGATAGTAGTTGTGATTGTAGTTTTGATGCAGATGCCTTGCTGGAACAAGTCTTGAATTGTTCCTAACTGCAATGTGGTTGTGATGATTGACAATATTGTGGTTGCGATGATTGACAGCATTGTGGTTGTGATGATTAACAACATTGTGGGATGACTGACTCTTCACGAATTTGGTAGTTCCACTTTTACTACCTCCATGGTAACCCAAACAAAGTTTCATTTGCCAACTCTCCAAGAGGCAAGAATGCTATCCACATCCTTTGTTCTACTATTCAGCATGTATATCTTCTTCCGAGTATCATTTAACTCTAGTGTAAGGACTCTACTTTTTTCTTCCTCCGAACCACATCTCTGCACAATTTTTCTTAACTTCCAGAGCTAAGTCTTCTTTCAGCTTTTCATTCTCATCTTGTAGTGTTAACTTCTCTTCCATCCATGAGATCTTCTCTTTACTCAGTAACAGCCAGTTGTCATACAATTTTCTGAATTGCTCATCAACATCCACATCATTCTCTTCGTCTAATTCATCGTCAGCTGAGCTGAACCCATTTTCTTTTTCTGCTTCACTATTAGAGCTTTCATCTTCTTCCTCTATGATTCCCACAAAGGATGCAAAACCATTTACTTCATCTTCCGAGTCATCTTCTTCAGAGTCACTTTCACTTTCAACAATGTTTAACCTTTCCTTCTTAGATCTCGCATCCACACAATCAAATTTTGTGTGTCCAATGCCTTTGCACTCAGAGCACTAAAGATTTTTTCTCTTCAGGGAGGGGCATTCAGCTTTGACATGTCCATATCCTTGACACTCATGGCACTGAATGTCTGTCCTTTTTCTACTTCTATCTTTGTCTCTGTCTCTTTTTCGATCATTTCCCTGATCCTCTAAACCTTTCTTCTCTACTCTTCTCAAGGCTCGATTGAAGTTTTTGGCCATCATACTCATCTCATCCTTTAGCTCTTGAATCTCATTCTTCTCACTAGACACAGTGAGTGCCAATCCTTTGGAAGAACTATTACTACCTGTAGTAATCTCCAACTCATATGCCTGCATCATCCCGACAACCTCTTCAAAATCAATAATATCATTATCTAAAGAAGTTTCCATAGCTATTCTTTTACTTTCAAAACGTGGAGGAAGACATCTCAGCAGCTTCTTAACCAGTTTCTTATCTTTGTACTTCTTACCAAGATTGTGAGCTTCATTTGCTATTGCACTGATTTTACCACTGAACTCCTCAATAGTCTCTGATTCTTCCATAGTGAGAGTTTCAAACTGAGATGCTAACATATCAATCTGTGACCTTTTCACATTGCTTGTTCCTTCATATGTCTTTGCAAGTTTATCCCAAGCTTCTTTAGTCTATTCACAGTTTTGAATGCGCTTGAATTGATTCTGATTAACTGAGTTGAAGATTAGAGATAACGCTTTCGAGTTTGCTGTAGCTTTTGCCTCCTCTATGTCATCCCACCTTTCTTCTGATTTTAGGATATCTTTTTCATCTTCACCTTTCATGACTGGAGGTTTCCATCCCTAATTAGTTGCAATCCATGCTTCTTTTCCAAGTCCACGAATAAGTGCTCTCATCTTCACTTTCCAGTTACCATAATTCCCTTTCTCCAGCGTGACTGAACGACCTACAGCAACAAACTCTTTGGGGTAGTCCATCCTTTCTGCATGATCTGCACCTGTTGTTAAGTTACAACTTGGTTCAGATGCTTGCTCTGATACCAAATGAAAAAACCGGATGAACTCAAGGCCGTTTTTTCCAAAATCAGAAACACTGAGTATCCTTTATTAGAAATCTTATTAAGATGTTTACGACACTCTTAATTGGTTTTACACAAGATCTAAACTATCTTAGTTTGTCACCTGAGATTTCTAACCTAAACAAGAACATATCAGAAGAACACACTCTTCCTTATCCTTCTTGTATACCGATTCAGAGTAAACCTTACTCTCTAAAGAAAAAGCTTAGTACAACTTTTTTCTCTCTTCAAACGGCTAACCTTAGCAAGCTTCTCAACAACCCTTTTTATATTCATCGGGCTGAGAACCTTCTAGGTTAGTGGCTTGGATCTTGGATATCTCCAAATCGTCTTGTGAATATCTTCTTTCCTATCTGATCCTAATCTCGTGTTCTCCACGTCATGTCTTCAGTTAGTAATAGAATCCACGTCAGCTAATTTACTTGCTGATTACTCCTCAAATCTGAAACAGCTTCTTGCAAATTCCAACAGCAGGCTGTGTGCATCCGTTAAGCCAAAATTCTGTGCATCTTTCATCCTTCTGGCCAAACCTTTGTGCGTCCTTCAGACCCAAGTTTTGTACGTCTTTACGACAAAACTTTGTGCATCCTTCGGACCCAAGAACTATATGCACTTACACTCTGTCTATGCTCTTATGTGTTCCGCGCGGTTGTGTCTCCAAGGAGTCGGGTTCTTCGTCGGAACTTCAAAGTTTTGAACTTTCGGTTAGTTTCCTGCGGAGTTCGTGGGGATTCGAAAAACCCAAGTTTGACGGATTCTGGTAGAAAGGCTGCAAATAGGTTTTTTTTCTAGATTTTCGAATAAATTCAAAGTCGATGAAACTTCGCAAGAGTCTCTGATTCATGATGACCAAGACAGTTATAGTAATTATAGTGAAGATCCGATAGTGGATAGGCTTAGGACCCAATTGGGTGCAATCCATCCACTTCCGTCACCAACCATTAATCGTAGTGTGATTGGTCTATTCGTCTTCTTCTTTTTCGTTGGTGTTGCTTTTGATAAGCTATGGACTTGGAGACAAACGGGTGGAGATGGAGGGCAAAGAGGATTAGGGCCATGGCCACAGGTTCCCACCAGCTTCTCTTTGTTCCTAGAGAAGGACTTGCAAAGGAAAGAGTCTGTGGAGTGGGTCAACATGGTGTTGGGGAAGCTCTGGAAAGTGTATAGAGCTGGGATTGAGAATTGGCTCGTTGGTTTGTTGCAGCCAGTGATTGATGACTTGAAGAAGCCTGATTATGTGCAGAGAGTTGAAATTAAGCAGTTTTCTTTAGGGGATGAGCCTTTGTCTGTCAGGAATGTTGAGAGGAGGACATCTCGCCGTGCCAATGACTTGCAGTACGTGTATACTTGTTCGGTACTAATAAATTTTTCTGATTTGATCAATTGTTGGGATTGCTCTTACTTGGTTTCAGTTGGATATTTTTTCACAAACTTTGAAACTCTTGATGAGATTTATTTGGCTTCCTTTTCAGTAAGAGTTCACGAAATAAGCTTTCTTGAGCATGAATTATGTACATCTTTGGGGCATCGAGTACTTCAAACTGTTTACCAGCGGCTCAGTTCGAGGTTTCTTATCATGTTACTCTTTCCTGTTATAGGTACCAAATTGGCCTTAGGTATACTGGTGGTGTAGTGTAGAAGATCGGAGAAGTAGGATAAGGCAACGTGCACCCTTGAATCATTTAAATTTATTGAATTTTGAATGATTGACCTATTAGAAGCTGGAATGAGTTTTGGAGAGTGCTGTTTTTGCTGTATGATTTTATACCGTTAGTGCGGTTTCGTGATTTTCAGGTGGTAAGAGTGCGATTTTGACTGCTCTATGTGTTGCCTTTAGATGTCGAGCCAGGGGAACTCAGCGCGCCGCTACGCTAAAAGATTTCATTAAAACTGGATGCAGGTTTGTGCACATTTGCTTCTCCATGAGATAAATTGCAGAAATGACATAAATTTCTTCAATCTATTTGGCTTTTTTTTTTTTCCTGCAGTTATGCCCTTGTTCATGTCGAACTGAAAAACCAAGGAGAGGATGCTTTTAAGCCTGAAATATATGGTGATACTCTGATTATTGAACGCAGGATATCTGATTCTACTAGTTTAACGGTTCTCAAGGATCATCAAGGTGAACAAATGCTTTGATGCTATTTTCGTAGTAGTCTGTGCTTCTTCTTGATTTGAATGTGATCGCTGTCTCTACATCTGTTTGCGCTATGATTGTCATTGTATATCTTCTTACTTGTTAGCTCAAGTCTTACTGTGTATGTCATGTATAAATTCAAGTAATTGATTCAAGTGGGTTTCTTCTTAATTGTGTTGTGCATGAAGAAAAATATCAAGCCGAAGAGAGGAGCTACGGCAACTTGTTGAACATTATAATGTGAGCTTTTCTCTTTGCAAGATTAAAAGTATGATCATTTGTGTTATATCAGATTTACGTGTTATTTGTGGTATTCATTGCTTGGATCTGAATTATGCTTTCTTTGATTAGATTGATGTTGAGAATCCCTGTGTGATAATGAGTCAAGACAAGAGCAGGGAGTTCTTACATTCTGGAAACGACAAAGACAAATTCAAGGTATATCCTGCAAATCTGTATTTGCTGAAGTAAATTTTGTTGACAGTTCTACTGAAAGCTTTTGTTTTGTAGTTCTTTTATAAAGCAACCCTTCTTCAGCAAGTCGATGATCTTCTTCAAAGTATTGGCATTAAGTTGAAATCTGCAAATGCTCTTATGGATGAGATGGAGAAGACCATAAAACCAATAGAAAAGGAGATCAGTGAATTGCTTGAAAAGATAAAGAATATGGAACATGTTGAAGAAATAACTCAACAGGTTCTGCATCTGAAAAATAAGCTAGCTTGGTCATGGCTCATGGGTATATGATGTGGATAGGCAGCTCAAGGAGCAGAATGAGAAGATCGTGAAACACTCAGAGAACGAGTGCCTACTTGTCAAAATAAAATTGATCGGAAACTGGTAAGTAATATGTTTCTATTACCTCAAATTTAGACTGCTATGCACAGGGTGCATGACTTGTCTAGCTTTCTCTCGGATACTCTAACACTGAAGTTTGGTAGTTGTATCAAATAGAGAATGTTGAACTTTGGTAGAAGATCGGAGAAGTGAGGACTAAGCAATGGATCTGCTTGAGATGAAGAAACTGTAATGGAAGATCGAGCAACGTTTTGAGCTGATGAAACATGAGAATTGACAAAGTATAAGCAAAAGACAAGTTTGATTTTTTCCAGTTTTTCAAATTTCAAAGGAACCAAACCGAATTAAACCAAAATTCCCATTCAATTGAACCGAACTGACTCTGAATCAGTCGGTTTAGTTTCTATTTATTTATTTTTGATAGCCGTAGAGGGAGACGAAGGTTCGATACACGTGTCGAACAGTCTAAAGAAAGAAACACTAGGAAGAAGAAAAGAAAATGAACTTCTTCTTCTGCAATTTTCTAACTTTTGTTAGCTTCTACAAATTTTGCAACGAGCCATTGGAGAAGACGGTTCTTGCTCTACAGTTATGCGTTATTTTTATTCTTCTTTGTCGGATACGATTCATAGATGATTCCGCAATCTTCTTTTTCAAGTTTTGATTTCCGGTTACCTGTTGATGTGTCTCGTCCTCTGCTCTGTCCATGCTCTTATGAGCTCCGCGCGGTTGTGTCTCCAAGGAGTCGGGTTCTTCGTCGGAACTTCAAAGTTTTGAACTTTCGGTTAGTTTCCTGCGGAGTTCGTGGCGATTCGAAAAACCTAAGATTGACGGATTCTAGTAGAAAGGCTGCAAATAGGTTTCTTTTTTCTAGGTTTTCAAATGAATTCAAAGTCGAGGAAACTTCGCAAGAGTCTCTGATTCATGATGACCAAAACAATTATAGTAATTTTAGGGAAGATCCGATAGTGGATAAGCTTAGGACCCAATTGGGTGTAATCCATCCACTTCCGTCACCACCCCTAAATCGTACTGTGATTGGTCTATTCGTCTTCTTCTTTTTCGTTGGTGTTGCTTTTGATAAGCTATGGACGTGGAGACAAACGGGTGGAGATGGAGGGCAAAGAGGATTAGGGCCATGGCCACAGGTTCCCACCAGCTTCTCTTTGTTCCTAGAGAAGGACTTGCAAAGGAAAGAGTCTGTGGAGTGGGTCAACATGGTGTTGGGGAAGCTCTGGAAAGTGTATAGAGCTGGGATTGAGAATTGGCTCGTTGGTTTGTTGCAGCCAGTGATTGATGACTTGAAGAAGCCTGATTATGTGCAGAGAGTTGAAATTAAGCAGTTTTCTTTAGGGGATGAGCCTTTGTCTGTCAGAAATGTTGAGAGGAGGACATCTCGCCGTGCCAATGACTTGCAGTACGTGTATACTTGTTCAGTACTAATAAATTTTTCTGATTTGATCAATTGTTGGGATTGCTCTTACTTGGTTTCAGTTGGATATTTTTTCATAACCATTGAAACTCTTGATGAGATTAATTTGGCTTCCTTTTCAGTAAGAGTTCACGAAATAAGCTTTCTTGAGCATGAATTATGTACATCTTTGGGGCATCGGGTTCTTCAAACTGTTTATCAGCGGCTCAGTTCGAGGTTTCTTATCATGTTACTCTTTCCTGTTATAGGTACCAAATTGGCCTTAGGTATACTGGTGGTGCCCGCATGTTGTTAATGCTCTCTTTGAAATTCGGAATTATCCCAATCGTTGTTCCAGTTGGTGTCCGGGATTTTGACATTGATGGTGAGCTTTGGGTCAAACTAAGATTAATACCGACACAGCCTTGGGTGGGAGCTGTATCATGTTCGTTTGTATCACTTCCAAAGGTCACATTTCAACTCGCAGCATTCAGATTGTTTAATCTAATGGGTATGCATTAATCTTTGTCTTACTGTTGCATTTCGATGATATTGTTTGTGTTGCTTCTTTCCCATCTTTTTAAAAATAAACAGGCAACCTTTTCTAGTAAAAGTTTTAAACTGTTGGCTAAACTGGGAATTGGTTAAGTTATCGACGATTGCTGATTTAGTGAAGAGACTTTTAGCTTTCACTTTTGCCGCCACTCACACATTTTTTTTTCTTCTGTCATGAATGGTTCGAATGATGAATTCAGGAATTCCCGTTCTATCAATGTAAGTTCTGTTGTAGCTGGTTACTTCACAAATTTTCTTGTTGAAAAAATTTGTTCCTGTCAATGTTTAGTATTACATGGATTTAGTGCCTTGTAATAGAAAGGCCACTTTGCTTGGTTAGATGTGTAATTTGTCTAGCTGCAATTTATTTTAACAGAATTTAACGAGCATATAGTTTAAGATGCATTGGTGCATTGTCCTGATTAAATACCAGTATTTCATTTTGTTTACCGTTGAGTGTTTAAGCTCCTCAATGTCTTGAAATAGTGGTTTCCTTCTTCCCTCCTATTATTTTACGTAGCATCGTCTCTTACAGGTTCTTGACCAAACTGCTGACGGAGGATTTGCCTCGATTATTTGTCCGACCAAAGAAAATTGTCTTGGATTTTCAAAAAGGAAAAGCTGTTGGCCCTGTTTCAGAAGACCTGAAATCAGGGGAAATGCAGGAAGGCAATAAGGATTTTGTCGGGGAACTATCTGTCACTCTTGTAGACGCTCAGAATCTTCGTTACATGTTCTCTGGTAAGCTATATAGTTCCTTCACATGTCAGTGTTTCCTTCAGAGTTGGAAAAGTGAAATAGACTGACAGTCTATTGCTGAAGTATTAGCCTCTTTGTGCAAGTTCATTCGACTTTATTGGGAATAAAGTAGCTGTACTAAATGGGTCTACTGGTGAGATCTTTCTTTTTCCTCGGTAATTGGTAACAGGTAAAACGGATCCATATGCAATTCTCAGATTAGGTGATCAAGTTATCCGTAGTAAAAGGAACAGTCAAACTACTGTCATTGGGGCTCCTGGTCAGCCAATTTGGAATCAGGTGAACTGCTTTGGATGGTTCATTCATAATCTGGTGTGAATTATGACTAGTGAAGGTTTCGAAATGTAATTGGATAAGTGTGTATTCGTAATCTTTGCAGGACTTTCAATTCCTTGTTTCAAATCCTAGAGAGCAAATATTACAAATTGAGGTCAATGATCGTCTTGGGTTTGCTGATATGGCTATTGGTACTGGAGAGGTAAATCATATTTCCTTAGTACATTTTTTTTTTGTAATCTGTAGAATAATAGGCATTGGTCGGATTACAGAGGATTCTGTGGATCTCGGTAATGATTGCTTGAGGATTGTTGCTTAATATTTAATTTGCTGTCTGCATAGCCTTATTATTTAGTTATATGTCCAGGTTGATCTCAGATTTCTGCAAGATACGGTTCCTACAGACAGAATTGTGGTTTTGCATGGTGGTTGGAGTTTGTTTGGAAAGGGATCTGCAGGTGAGATACTGCTACGGCTTACATACAAAGCATATGTGGAGGAGGAAGAAGATGACAAGACCAATGTCAAAGCCATTGATGCAGATGCTTCTGATGATGAAATGTCTGATTCAGAAGAACTTGGCTCATTTGTGCGGAATGAAAAGGTTTCTTCAGATGATATTGGTCAAGAGTCATTTATGAACGTGTTGTCTGCATTGATTGTGAGTGAGGAGTTTCAAGGCATAGTTTCATCTGAAGCCGGAGACAGTATAATTTCTGGTGGTGACTCGCTTGGGGCTCCAGTACCTTCTAAGGCAGATAGTAGTAATGGGTCTGAAAGCAACGCAGATGTATCAGATTCGGATTTGTTAGTTGACAATTCTGGTAGAGGGACTGGCGGTGATGGAGGTATACGGAGGCTCAATCTCTTACGATGATTTCTTTTATATGCTTTCCTGACCTGAAACTGTAAAACCTCCTACTTTCAGGATTAGCATTACTGTGGTTCGGTATAATCACGGGTATATTGGTTCTTGTTGCTATCAACATGGAAGGCACACGTTTCTTCAACCCGTAATATAGTGCTATACAGCTCGCTGGAGATTTCTGTTGCAAGTAAGTCTCTTGATCTATACCAAGAGAACTTGAAATTTCTTCCCCTAGTTTGACAGACAGATTCTCTGTTTTTCAGTTGTTTTCCTCATATTAGAACATGGAAACAACACTGGTTTGTTCATATAGTCAAGAACCAACCATGCACTTCATCTTTTCTAGAATAGTTATGCTACTTGAAACATCATAGTTGTAGGACGTGTTTTTACTTCATTTATATTAGGAGTAGATTCTGTTTCTCTTTCGACTGCTTGTAGTGTACCGAAACTGAACACCAAGTTTTGCATTTGATAAAATTATGTGTTAGTGGAAAATGATTCAGTGGATTCTTCTACCTTATGTGACATAGTTCAGTCCAGATATTGTCATGTCTACCTTTTGCTGTTGGTAGTATTTAGTCTGTGGGCGATTAGCTTACCCAGGGCTCTTTATTCTATGGCAGGTTTGGTTGTCATCTCTTCCCAACCTTAGATATGGCTTACAACGAGATCTCAGTTTTGCAATTTAATTATTATTTGTTGTATGTAAATAGCCATTAGAAGAGGGATACTTACTAGAGGCAGGAAGGGTTATTCACTTATTCTGTCCAAGCTCTTACTGTGTACACTTGTAGTTGGTATACATGAAAAATAAAGAGAGAGAAATCTGTATATTTTGACCAAAAAAAAAGAAGAGGAAATTCTGCAACTAATGTTCTGTATATCTTGGCTACAAATAATGTTCTGGCAGGGAAAAAAGACTTGTTTCTGCAACTCATTTGGAAACACGTCTGTGCTAATATCAGTCACAAATTTTGTGCTTGAGAAAAGGCTTCCTCTGGTGTTTTCTTTGAGATTTATAGTTTATTTCACCTCATTAGATACTGCAACTGTGATCTTGTGTCGTCGATTCGCTTTTCAGAAGGAGCAACATAATTTATGGAGATACCACTACGGGGAGTCTAGACAAGGTACACATCTCAGTCTCTCACTATTGGGAAATATCAAATATAATCATCGATGGTTTCAATAGGATTGGGTGGTAGTATCTAGATTCTCAAATAAAGTTTTGACAAAGATAGACTGATCGCAAGGGTGGAGCCTCTTGTTAACATGAATGGCTAAGGTATTGAAGGAAGCTCTCACGTCCATGGTTTGTTTACAGCTACTGTTGAGGCTTACGAGATTGTTCTAGCGGGCGGGAGAAACTTATCCTAGCCACTAGGGACAATGAAAGTATTCTGACCTTTCCATGCCATCCATGGTCATAAGGGGACATTCAGGTTTCTTGTCGCTGAGATCAAGCTTGTAACATGAAACTTACTTTACATTTTGGTCAAGGGTGACAAACCATAGATCATGGTTATCTGAATTCTTTTGCACCCAAAGATGGGATCCAGCTATGGTGGTTGTAGCCATGGCACTAGGATATGCACAAACCGTGGGGGAATAGAAAATCAAACCGAACCGAATTAAATTTAAAGTAAACCGAACCGAATTAAATTTAAAGTAAACCGAACTGTCCGACCTATACACAAAAATTTCGAATTTGCACAATTAATTAATTAATTTTTGTGGCATTTTGCGATCAGCTCACGAGTGGCTATGAGATAGAAAACGTAGACGAACTCGACAAGTCATGGCTTCTGTTTATTCTCTTCTTCCTTAAAGCTCCTTTCTTCCACGTTTCCTCATTTGTAGCTTCTCTCTCAAAATTCCATTTTGATTTCATCGCAGAAGTCTCGACGAAGAAGAAGAAGAAACAGAGCTGCTTCAATGGCGGCCACAGCTTCTAACTCATTACTTCGCTCTTCACATTTCTTAGGATCCCATATCATAATCTCATCTCCCACCCCTAAAACCACCAGAAAACCCTCGTTCCCTTTCTCCTTCGCCTCCCGTGCAAAATACCAAATCACTCGATCGTCTCTAGACAACAATTCTCCAAATGGCAAACCCAATTCGCCATTCTCGTCGCAAGTTGCTTTAGCAGCTATTCTGTTCTCTTCAATTTCATCATCTCCGCCGCGAGCTTTAGCCGTAGTGGACGAACCAGCTTCTCCGTCTGTCGTTGTGGAAGCTCAAGCTCAAGCAGTGAAGCCATCGACGTCATCGCCGTTGTTCATTCAGAACGAGATACTTAAAGCACCTAGTCCTAAATCATCGGATCTTCCTGAAGGATCACAGTGGCGATACAGCGAGTTTCTTAACGCTGTGAAGAAAGGTAAAGTGGAGAGAGTTAGATTCAGCAAAGATGGTTCTGTTCTTCAGCTTACTGCTGTCGACAATCGCCGTGCCTCCGTCATCGTCCCTAACGACCCTGACCTTATTGATATCTTGGCTATGAACGGAGTTGATATATCGGTTTCTGAAGGAGAATCCTCTGGCAATGACTTGTTCACTGTCATTGGAAACTTGATTTTCCCGCTTTTGGCCTTTGGTGGACTCTTCTTGCTTTTCAGGCGAGCTCAGGGTGGTCCTGGTGGTGGTCCTGGAGGCTTGGGTGGTCCTATGGATTTCGGACGTTCGAAATCCAAGTTCCAGGAAGTGCCTGAGACTGGTGTGTCATTCGCAGATGTTGCTGGTGCTGATCAAGCTAAGTTGGAGTTACAGGAAGTTGTGGATTTCTTGAAGAATCCTGATAAGTACACAGCCTTGGGTGCTAAGATTCCTAAAGGGTGTTTGCTTGTTGGACCGCCTGGTACGGGTAAGACACTCCTGGCTAGGGCGGTGGCTGGGGAGGCAGGAGTACCGTTCTTCTCTTGCGCGGCCTCGGAGTTTGTGGAGCTTTTTGTGGGTGTTGGTGCATCTAGAGTTAGGGATTTGTTCGAGAAGGCTAAGTCGAAAGCACCTTGTATTGTATTCATTGATGAGATTGACGCTGTGGGGAGGCAGAGAGGAGCTGGGATGGGAGGAGGAAATGATGAGAGAGAACAGACTATTAATCAGTTGTTGACGGAGATGGATGGATTTTCTGGCAACTCTGGTGTGATAGTTTTGGCAGCTACGAATAGGCCGGATGTTCTTGATTCGGCACTGTTGAGGCCTGGAAGGTTTGATCGACAGGTCACGGTGGATAGGCCTGATGTGGCTGGCAGAGTCAAGATTCTTCAGGTTTTTTCATAGCTGTTTTATAAAGTTTACTGGTTGTCTCTGGAGTTGTGTGAAAGATTCTTATTTCTCTGTGGGGTTTGGTTTTATTGTAGGTTCATTCTAGGGGGAAGGCACTTGGTAAAGATGTGGACTTTGACAAGGTTGCGAGGAGGACCCCCGGTTTCACAGGTGCTGACCTACAAAACCTGATGAATGAAGCGGCGATTCTTGCGGCCAGGCGTGAGCTTAAGGAGATAAGCAAGGATGAAATCTCTGATGCTCTTGAGAGGATCATTGCTGGACCTGAGAAGAAGAATGCAGTTGTCTCTGATGAGAAGAAGAGACTTGTTGCATACCATGGTTAGCATTTTTTTCTAACTATATATAATGGAGTAATCAGCTGGGATTCTTGTTTTCTGACCACCTCAAATGAATTTTAAATTTGCAGAGGCTGGTCATGCTCTAGTGGGTGCTCTTATGCCGGAATATGATCCGGTTGCCAAGATTTCCATCATTCCTCGTGGCCAAGCTGGTGGGCTCACTTTTTTTGCTCCAAGCGAAGAAAGACTTGAGTCTGGATTGTACAGCAGGAGCTACCTCGAGAATCAAATGGCTGTTGCACTTGGCGGAAGGTTAGTTAGTAATGGCCTCGTCACAAAAGCCAGGTTTTGAATTTACAGAGAAGGGTTTCATTGTGTTGGAACCATCTCTCTCTTGTGTTGGTTATGTCAGGGTTGCAGAGGAGGTGATCTTTGGGGATGAGAATGTGACGACCGGAGCATCAAATGATTTCATGCAGGTGTCTCGTGTGGCACGTCAAATGATTGAGAGATTTGGGTTCAGCAAAAAGATTGGACAAGTTGCTGTTGGTGGCCCTGGTGGAAATCCCTTTATGGGTCAACAAGTATATTGCTAAATGAACTTGGTTTCTCGGTTTGATCATTAGGATTGTTGGTTCGACAAGTTGGAGTGTTACTTATATCCATGAAATGTTTTTGCAGATGTCATCACAGAAAGATTACTCAATGGCAACTGCAGATATTGTAGATGCTGAGGTGCGAGAGTTAGTTGAGAAGGCATACAAGAGAGCAACGGAGATCATAACAACTCATATTGATATCCTACACAAGCTTGCACAGCTCCTCATCGAGAAAGAAACTGTTGACGGCGAAGAGTTCATGAGCCTCTTTATTGACGGCCAAGCTGAGTTGTATATATCTTGATTCCTCAAAGTTGTCATTGCTTAGTGCTTACAATATCATTAGCTTATAAGTATATTTGTGTTCATATGTGTCACCAATTCAGTATATTTGTGTATACTTTGTAATGTAATGCAATGTGTTTACTTTATGAGCATATTCAGCTTTGCAAAAACTGGCTTTTTCTTTACCTAGATAGTTTCTTTCTAAGTTCGATGTGAATCAGCATGACAAGCAAGTATTTCATGAATTGTATCAACCACCTGAATAGAGAGCAATAAAAGTAATTTGAACCGGTTTACTGCGGTTTAGATCGTTGGCCCATTTTCTTCTTAAACGATTCTCAACGTAATAACAAGTCTACAATGAAACGAACGATGTCTTAACACAATAAATTTACAGGGACGTAATTTTTCTTAGGAATCAGAATCACCACCGACTTTGGCGACAATAACTGAAGCATAGTGAGCAATGTTAGCCTCAGGGGATTGCTTAAGCCTTGCGATGACCGGGAACAACTCTGATGACTTCACGAACTGTCTGCAAATCTGGTGGTTCGAACACATTTTAGCCAATGAGAAGAGTGCGATCTTGAGCGGTGACTCACTCACTGTCTCTTTCTTGCTTGGGTTCAAGGCAAGAGTCGAGCAATCGGCAACTAGCCTCAGTAACGTCTGCACAGTGCACACAACGTACGCGAAATTAGACACAAGAAGTCGTATGTATATTGACCTACCAAATTAATCTGCAGTTGTTACTAACTTGTAAAGCTCCTTTGGAGACTATATCTTCACAGAGTTTGTTGGAGTTTCGGACAAGGTTGCTCAATGCACCAGCAGCGTTTGCTTTTGTCTTGTCTTCTTCAGCAGTGGTCAAGACGTTTGCTAGCTGCGTTATAGATCGTCGTAGCTCTTCATACAGCGTGTCGTTATGGTAAGCAGCATTTCCAATCTGCAAAAGAGAAAAAATGGAAAGGGCTCTTTTAACATTTGATCAGAAGTATTATGGAAGTAGAGAAAAAAAAAAAACTTGTTAGTTTTTGATGATTTTACAGCAAAGCAAGCGAATTTTTGTGTTCGTTTGTCCGGATCAGCGCATCGATCAATGAGGAGACCGATGATTTGATGTTCCGCCTGCACATAATAACCACCCAGACCATGTAAGAAAAAACACTCTGTTCTGAAAAGTTCGAGCTCTCAAAGTAAAAGAAGCTTAGTGCTGTAACTTACAAGAGAGCTGTAGAAATATCCATTGTGTCTGCACATATTGCCAAGAGCACTACAAGCTTTTGCACGTATATTTGGATCCACATGGGTAAGAAATTCCTTCAAAGGCTGCAAAACAGAAGCCTCCCCGATGTATTTATAGAAAGCCTGTACGGTTGCACAATAGTACCAAATTAGATACCATCGTTTACTTCACTATCCTGTGTCTAAGCGAAGGTAACAAATAGAATGCATCCTAAATATAAAACGCTTACCT